TTCCCTGGTGGGGTGGCTGCCTGGGCTTCCCTGGTGGGGTGGCTGTCTGGGCTTCCGTGGTGGGGTGGCTGTCTGGGCCTCCATGGTGGGGTGGCTGTCTGAGCTTTCATGTGGCGGGGGGGCTGTCTGGGTTTCCCTGGTTGGGTGGCTGTCTGGGCTTCCATGCTGGGGTGACTGGCCTTCTTCCCACTGATGCACCGTTTTTCATCTGCAGCGGACTCTGACAAGCGTCATCCCAGCGACTTCGCCCTGTGGAAGGCAGCCAAACCCCAGGAGGTGTTTTGGTCCTCTCCCTGGGGACCTGGGAGGCCGGGCTGGCATATTGAGTGCTCTGCCATTGCTAGGTAAGGCGCCTGCTGCTTCGTGGGGGTGTGGGGCTCAGTTTCCCCTGGTGTCTGCTCAGGGCAGTGGAGGATGTGGACAGGAGCAGGTGCAGCCTGGCATGTGTGCCCATAGGTGGTTTTTTGGGAAGAGATTTTGCTGGAGTGTGACAGGGCATGGAAGGGACGAAGCAGACCCAGGACACAGCCAGCTCCCCAACCCCAGGACACAGCCAGCTCCCCGACCTCAGGACACATCCAGCTCCCCCGACCCCAGGACACAGCCAGCTCCATCCAGCTTTCCCCATCCCAGGACACAGCCAGCTCCCCAACCCCAGGACACAGCCAGCTCCCCAACTTCGGCACCTGCTCCATGTGGCGGAGAGGCTGCCTTTTGGTTCACACCTGCAGCCGCCCTGTTCCCTCACCCTTGTCTGCCATGACCAGTGCTTGGGGCCCTGGAGGAGAGTGCTCCCACCTACATCCCCCTCGCTTCGCACTTCTCTGGCCCCGAAATCCCTCTCCGCCTTCCTGCCAGCTCTTCTAGCCTAGACCACTCACACACCCAAGATGCTCCGTGGTGGAAATCTGAGCTCCTCCCAGATCTCTGGAGTCCCCTCTAGCTGCCCGCACTTGGGTCCCCTGTCACCAGAGCTGCTCTTCCCACTGTCTGCCTGGGACCGCGGCTGCCTGCCGCCCCCACTCAGTCCCATGACACTGCTCTCCTGGGCTGCTGTGGCATCCCCTGCTCTGGAAACACCCTGTCTGTCCCAGTTTCTGCCTTTCACCAGAGCCTTCTCCACCTTCTCTCTGGTCCCCTCTTTGGATGCGCCTCAGGTGTCCGTACCCTAAGACTCTGCCTGCCGCCAGGCTCCTTGCGTGGGCTGTGTATAAAGCAGCACCGCGCGTGCCCCGTACCACACGGCTGCCCACAGGGCTCGCCACGGTTATTTTCTTACTGTGGTGCTGGTTTGTGTGGCCCGACCTTCTGCAGGCAGCAGGGTACCCGGCCACGCGTTTGGACTGTTCCCCATGTTTCGCTGTTACAGTTATCCCTAGCGAATAACTGTGCCTATGTTTCCTATTTGTAGAAATCGGGTTTTTAAAAAAATCACTAAGCTGAAGGATTTTAGTATACCTGATGGCAAATCTTTATTGCAGTGAACAGTTTTAAAAATTAGAAACACAAAGAATGGTTAAGGTGAACACTTTAAGCTACTAGCGACATTGAAGGTTTTCATCTGGATAAATCCAGCCACCTCGAAGCCTGTGGGTGTTGAATTCAGGATGTGTTTCCTGGCTGGTGTAGAGGGAGTGTGGGTGGGGATAATGATTTCTCACACGAGGACTCTGCTCCAGTCATGGACTCCCAGACTGCTTGAGTATTCAGCTCTGAGTAGGGTTGCCCCATTCCACATCGTCGTGTTGGCTTCAGATCTTCAGAAGAGACAGTTGCTCATCTAAACACAAATGAGGTTCCTCCCGTCCCCTCCCCATTCCTAGGACCATGGTCTCCTGCCTCTGAATTTTGGTGATCTTCTTTAAGATCCAGAAAGAGTTTCTCCCTTTTCTGCTAAGGCCCCACCACTTGCACTGTGGTTATATGGCTCATCTGGAAAGGCTTCAGTAATCCCCGAGACACCAAACTCTGCTGTTACTAGGAAGCATGGGCCTGACTTTTGATTTTAAAAAGTTAAAAATGTCCAGTCACCAGTCATACGTTAACTACTTATAATACTTAATAGCAGACTATGGGGTATCAGCTGGGTTGTAGGTTTTTTTTTTTGAGATGGAGTTTCACTCTTGTTGCCCAGGCTGGAGTGCAATGGTGCGATCTCAGCTCATCACAACCTCCGCCTCCCTGGTTCAAGCGATTCTCCTGCCTCAGCCTCCTGAGTGGCTGGGATTCCATGCGCATGCCACCACACCCAGCTAATTTTTTTTTGTATTTTTCATAGAGACTGGTTTTCACCATGTTGGCCAGGCTGGTCTTAAACTCCTGACCTCAGGTGATCCACCTGCCTTGGCCTCCCAAAGTGCTGGGATTATAGGCATGAGCCATCATGCCCAGCCCAGATTCATTTTTTAGATTCAAATAATTGCTCTAAAGCAGGTAGAAAACATCTAGTGAGTTTCAAACGTAACGCTACTATTGAATACTTTATTTTTGTTGAAAGATTAAATAATGAAAAGAGACCATTATTGTTCCTTCTGAGCCTTCTCTTATTTTAAAATGGGTGTAACATAGAGGTTATGCTCCAGACTAACATAATGAAGGCTGTGGCCCCACAGTTCGCATCGTCGTGTTGGCGTCAGATCTTCAGAAGAGACAGTTGCTCATCTAAACACAAATGAGGCTCCTCCCGTCCCCTCCCATGGTTTCCTTCACAGCATTTGAACTGCAGGGAATGTTAGAGTTACCCTGAGACGACCCATCGCTAAGATGTAAAAATCTTAGAGCATCACACTGCAACGTGTGTTTCTGTGATGCCCGATCCCTTAAGCTTGAGGCCTGTGTGTGCAGTCCTTCCCCGAGCACAGGGAACCAGACCAGTGGGAGCAGGAAGGACCTCTGCGAGGCGTCGGCACCTTAGAAACTCTGCACCTATCATTGTAAGAAAATCCACCAGGCTGCAGCGTCGTCATGCTTCTGCAGCTGGTCCAGGGACAGAGCTTCGAGTGGGCTGGCCCAGCCTCATGTTCCCCATCACCGCCATTAGTTTTAGCGTGTGGGTTTACAGAAACGTGTTTTTGTGGCTGCATGGCGCTGCACTGTAGGAGAAAGGGTAACAACTGTCACGTGTTGCTTTGAACTCTCTTACCTTTTTATTCCCACGTGGCTGTTAGTTACATTTCCAGAAGCCACATGAAACACTGTCATGATTTTATATTTCCACCTCTTGTTAAAGTTGGAAAACCAGTAAACCCTACCTATTGAAAGTGAGTAAAGGTAATTTGTTGAGTTTAAAATATATACATATAGGTAGTACCTACAGCAAGAAGAATTAAGTCTCTTTACTGGGATGAAGAGTCATGAATAATGGGTTTATGATGACAGGATTTCAGTTTTCATTTGAATCAGTTAAATTACCATGTAGATTGATTTAAAATTGAGATCCGTTTATTCATTGCATTAAAAAGGCTGGAAGGAGTAAATAGATGACGTTTGAAGAAAATACGCTGCTTGATTGAATGAATTCACTACCTTGTACTGTGTCTTGCAGTATGGTGTTTGGAAGTCAACTGGATATCCATTCAGGTGGAATAGATTTAGCTTTTCCACATCATGAAAACGAAATTGCACAGTGTGAAGTCTTTCATCAGTGCGAGCAGTGGGGAAATTATTTTCTGCATTCTGGTAAGTAATGACTTCAGATTAACTTGTTCTGTTTCAGTTCTGGCGGTTCTGTCTTTGTTGGCCAAACAGCCACATTTGGAAATACATAGATCAGCTAATAGGTCAAGAAATGGATGTGCCTCTTAAATTATTTTTGAGTTTTAATCATTTGGACATGAACTTCCGTGGATTGCAGCAATGATTATACCTTTTTAGAACTGACTAGAATATGGAAAATGTTTGGCAATCCTGTTCTATAGAAGTTTCTTTCAAGTAAAATTCTTAAGGAACTTCTTTTTTTTTTTTTTTTTTTTTTTGAGACGGAGTTTCGCTCTTGTTACCCAGGCTGGAGTGCAATGGCGCGATCTCGGCTCACCGCAACCTCCGCCTCCTGGGTTCAGGCAATTCTCCTGCCTCAGCCTCCTGAGTAGCTGGGATTACAGGCACGCACCACCATGCCCAGCTAATTTTTTGTATTTTTAGTAGAGACGGGGTTTCACCATGTTGACCAGGATGGTCTCGATCTCTTGACCTCGTGATCCACCCGCCTCGGCCTCCCAAAGTGCTGGGATTACAGACGGAGTTTCGCTCTTGTTACCCAGGCTGGAGTGCAATGGCGCGATCTCGGCTCACCGCAACCTCCGCCTCCTGGGTTCAGGCAATTCTCCTGTCTCAGCCTCCTGAGTAGCTGGGATTACAGGCACGCGCCACCATGCCCAGCTAATTTTTTGTATTTTTAGTAGAGACGGGGTTTCACCATGTTGACCAGGATGGTCTCGATCTCTTGACCTCGTGATCCACCCGCCTCGGCCTCCCAAAGTGCTGGGATTACAGGCGTGAGCCACCGCGCCCGGCAAGGAACTTCAAGTAGTACAACGTAATGGTGATTAGGAACACTCCTTCCTGAAACTGTAATATTGTCACTAGACATCCCTGCCATTTTCTAATGGCCCTTTCTTCCACTGACCAGACCCCTAACTGAGGAACCCCAGCTGTCTGCTCTCAGAAGCGGATGCATCACTGTGAGTTAAGCAACACCTTGAACCCAGCAATTTTGGAAATCCCTGGGATATACTGGAAGGATCATATTTCCAAGTTTGCAGGGCCAGAATTAACCAGTCTTACTAACTTTTGGGGATGGACAGCGAAGGTATTTGAGACAAAGAAAGATAAAGAGTGTTTGGCAGTGATAGGATTTGGAGATGCAAACTTCAGCATCTAAAATACAGGAAATTAACAAGTGCTATTTTTTGAAGTCCTTGAATTAGGAAATTAGGCTGTCACTGTGCAGCATGAAATGCAGAAACGCTCCAGCTTTCTGGTCTGCAGCAGGGTTCACTTGGGTTTCTTCATGAAAGTAAACAGATGAGGCTGACTGCCCCCAGGCCACTTCCTGCAGCAGGTCCTTCACCCCGGGCACCCAGCAGGAGGCTCCGCTCCCACCGTTACCTACTGTGTCTGCCTAGCAGAGTGCCCGTTTTTGTCTAAAACTGAAGCAGAAAGCAAGCTGGCTGGGTGGCTGTTTGAGAACCTAGGAGTTGTTTTGTCCAGCACCGCACACCTTTTCCCTGGGGAGGGCTCAGCGCTAGCTGAAATCTGTTTTATTTCGCAGATGATGTCCCCTGCTCGGGGGAGCTCCTAATCAAAATGCATGCCTGCCACCCCCACTTTGTTTCAGCTGGTGCTTACGTGGGAAGGGAGTGCACATGGCTGGGTGGTGGAATATTTAAGGCATCACCCCTCCAGGAGCCCAGCACGGATTTCCATAGCGGGGGCCTGCACTCCTCTTTTGAACACCGGGAAGGAGGTCCCTCTCCCTTGGCCCAAGGACTTCTGAACCATGTTCTTGGAGAGGAAGCCTGCTCAGAGCCGTCTGGTGGGGCTGAGGCACTGAGTCCCAGGCACAGAGGCAGTTGTGTCCCTCGTCCCAGATTCGGCTCAGTTCATCGCCCCCGGACTGTCTGAGGAGCTGGAGTTGCTCCCTCCGCAGGCGGGTTTCTGTCTGCAAGTTTATCCTCTTCAGTAGGCCAGGGTTTGTAACTGACAGCATGACCTGCAGTGAGTCCTTCAGCCAGTGTGGAGCTGGGGGCAGGAAGGGCAGCCTTAGCCGTGCCGACGCTTCGCCCTCTCAGGTAGTGAGGAGGGGCTGGGGTCTAGAAACGGAGGTCAAGGTCATGTTCACCGTCAGATGTGGAAATGGGAAAGCGTTAGTTGTTGAGACAGTCTTGCTCCGTCCTCCAGGCCTGGGAGTGCAGTGGCGCGATCTCAGCTCACTGCAACCTCTGCCTCCCGGGTTCAAGCAGTTCTCCTGCCTCAGCCATCCTAGTAGCTGAGACTACAGGGGTGCATCACCACACCTGGCTAATTTTTGCATTTTTAGTAGAAGCAGGGTTTCACCATATTGGCCAAGGTGGTCTCAAACTCCTAACCTCAAGTGATCCACCTGCCTCTGCCTCCCAAAATGCTGGTATTGTAGGCGTGAGCCACTGCGCTGGGTGGGAAAGCTTTGCTGCCATTTTTCAGTGACTTTTACTACCTATTAAGGCACTAGGAATCTTTTTCATACTAGTTTGGCCCGAAACAAAACAGCAGTGTCTCCTGACACAGGAGAAGTGACACTTGTTCTCCTGCACCCAGTGGATGGAAGAGCTGAGTGGGCAGACGCTGTCCTGGCCTGGTAGGGCTGCTCTAGCCAAATACAAAGAGTGGCATCTTATGAACAGCGGGAATGGATCCTCATGGTTCTGCCGGCCGGAAGTCCTCCGTCTGCACACTGGCAGATTCCGTGGCTCGGAAGGGGCTGCTTCCTGTCCACAGACGGCTGTCAGCTCTCGAGGGCTCTGTCTGGGGTCTGTTTTAGAAAAGCCCTGATTCCATTCACATAGGCCCTGCCCCCAGGACATTGTCACCCATCACCCTCCTCAGGCCCCACCTTCAGTTACCATCACCTTAGGGCTGAGGATTTTAACAGGAATTTGGGAGGACGTACACACTCAGACCTTAGCAAATATGTTGCATTTTCGAAATATCAATTAAAAATTAGAATCGTGCTTGATATAATCACGTTATATAGAATTACATATTCAAAGTTATATATACTTTTTGGAAACCACATTCTAACCAGTTGGGTTATTTGTATTTTTTCTGAGGCAGAGTCTGTCTCTGTGGCTCAGGCTGGAGTGCAGTGGTGCGAACATAGCTCACTGTGGGCTCCACCTTCTGGGCTCAGGTGATCCTCCCACCTCAGGCTCCTGAGTTGTTGGGACTGCAGGCACACTCCACCACACCCAGCTAATTTTTTTTTTTGGAGAGACAGGGTGTCGCCATGTTGCCCAGACTGGTCTCCAAACTCCTGGGCTCAACTGATCCTCCCGCCTCAGCCTCCCAAAGGGCTGAGATTACAGGGGTGAGCCACAGTGTCAGCCTGGAGCACTCCTATTTGAAGTTGTGTCAGAGAAAGAGTAAGAGTCTTCTGTTAGAAACAGAACCCATCTCTTGGAGATAAGCCTTGTAAAGCTACAGGCCAGGGAGAATTTCAGGCTCTCATTTGGGAGTTATGGGTGTGGGTTTCCTTTTGTCCTTCACATGCATAGGACATGAAATAATTCCAAGGTCTTCAGAGTCTGTGGAAACCACTGCAGCAGAACCTCTAACCAATCCTACCTGGAGACCCACAGGCTCCACTCTGTATGGGCAGCGGTCAACAAGCTTTGCCGCCAAGTGCCTGATTAGCTGAATGAGAGCTTTGTCATTTCTTCGGATGCAGTCAGTGAAATCAGTATCTCTGGATTACAGGAAAGGAGAAAATGGATGAAATGGTGCCATCGGCACCATGCTTGCCCATTCTTGTTTAGCTCCTGAGTCAGCTGGGGCACCTATGCCATCGCCCTCAGTGTGGGGCTGGGTGTCCCTGAAGCCATGGAACCATGTAGGTGTGTCTTCCCAGAAGACACAGCACGGGTGAAGATTCTGTGCCGACATTCACCCGTCTGTGCAGTATATAGATGCAGATTCCCATGCGTTTCCCGAGGCAGAGCCCCTCACCCGGCTCCGACTGAATTCACCCGTCTGTGCAGTGTATAGATGCAGGTTCCCATGCGTTTCCCGAGGCAGAGCCCCTCACCCGGCTCAGACTGAATTCACCCCTCTGTGCAGTGTATAGATGCAGGTTCCCATGCGTTTCCCGAGGCAGAGTCCCTCACCCTGCTCCGACTGAATGCTTTTGTTTTTGTTTCAGGGCATTTGCACGTGAAAGGCAAAGAAGAAAAAATGTCCAAATCTTTAAAAAACTACATTACTATTAAGGTAATATGCTTGTTGTATTGTGTCTCCGAGGTGCTGATGGCTTGCTGAACCCATCTTAAAGGCTTCTTTGTCATTTGAGAGCCGCAGAATCCAGCTCCCAGTGTCCTCTGGCCCCTTTCCTATGACAAGACCTGCCTCATCTTCCTCCCATTCTAAATGGCTCTCCGCCTCATCTCGCTCTTTGGCTGGGCACCGTCTGCTGTTTCCTGAGGTCTCTTGGTGGAGCTTCCCTTTCTCTTTCTTTGTTTCAAAGCTGGTGCTTTCTTGTTGTCTTTTCCTTTTATAATGGTTGTTTCTCTCGGCGCATCTGCTAACTTCCTTCCCTTCCTTACCTGCCACCTCCTCCTGGTGTGGATTTTGCTGTTTGCCTTTAGTAGGCTCAGAGCTGGCTGGACCCTTAGCCAACCTGAGAAACGTCGTTGTGCTGTGGCACTGACACACAGAATGTGCACTCGCAGAGGGCTCTGGCTGAAATAGTTTGAGTTGCTCCTTTGTCTTCTGGCCTGTCTTTAAATGTAATTTAATTGCAGAGTAAATGGAGAAGAATAGTATCCAGATCTCAACCACCTAAATAGCAAACTGGTGAAAGCTATTCCTGTCAGATTTAAGATAAACCAACAGGGACTGCTCCTCACAAAATAATTTGTATATACTTTCCTTAAGTAGAATTTTTCCATTTTATCCTAGGCAAAATGTCAAACCTGTAGAAAAGTTGAAAGAAACTTTCCCTTGACACCACCCAGATTCAGTAGTTGTAATTATTTTGCTGCATTTGGTGTGTAGGATCTTCTTCCTCTACCCAGCTTCGATTCTCCCGCCGGGGGCCTGTAAATTAGACTGGCCAAAGAGAGATTAACAAGAGAAAAACAAAGACAAATAGATTAGCGTGTGCACGGTGCATGTAGAGATGGAGCCCGGGGGTGGTGGTGCACGGGGGTGGTTGGAGCCCGGCCCCTGTGGGGACCTTGCTTTATTGAGCTTCACTTTACCGCACTTCGAGATGCTGTGTTTTTACAAATTGAAGGTTTGTGGCAGCCCTGCACTGAGCAAGTCTGTTGGCATGATTTTGCCAACAACATGTTCTCACTTCGTTTCTGTGTGTCATATTTCAGTAATTCTTGCAATATTTCAAAGTTTTGTATTAAATCCATTACGATCTGTGATCAGTGATCTCTGATGTTACTGTTGTAATCATTTTGGGGCTCCATGAACCACACCCACGTACGGCAGAACTTAGTATGTGTTGTGCGTGTTCTGACCGCTCCACCAGCCATCCATTCCCTTCAGTCTGCCTCTCCTCGGGCTCCCCTGTTTCCTGAGACAAAACAATATTGAAGTCAGGCCAGTTACTAGCCCTACAGTGGCCTCCAAGTGTCCAAGTGAAAGGAGGAGACACACATGTCTCACTTTCAGTCAAAAGCTAGCAATGGTTAAGCTTCATGAGGAGGGTATGTCAAAAGCTGAGACAGGCTGAAAGCTAAGCCTCTTGCACTAAACATTCAGCAAAGCTCTGAATGTAAAGGAAAAGTTCTTGAAGGAAATCAGAAGTGCTGTTCCAGCAAACACTTGAATGGTTAGCAAGCAAAACAGCCTTATTGTGATAATGGAGAAAATTTGAGTGGTCTGTATAGAAGATCAAACCAGCCACAACGTTGCCTTAAGCCATAGCCTAATCTGGTATAAGGCCCCAACTCTCTTCAATTCTGTGAAGGCTGAGAGAGAAGAGAAAGCTGCAGAAGAAAAGTTGGAAGCTAGCAGGGGTTGGTTTGTGAGGTTGAAGGAAAGAAGCCATGTCCATAATATGGTGAAGCAACAAGTACTGATGGAGGAGCTGTGGCAAGTTATCCAGAAGACCTAGCTAAAATAAGTGATGAAGGTGGCCATACTAAAGAGCAGATCTTTCAATATAGATGAAACAGCCTTCTATTGGAAGAAGATGCTGTCTAGGACTTTTGTAGCTAGAAAGAAGTCAATACCTGGCTTCAGAGCTTTAACCTGGCTAACTGTTGTTAAGGGCTAATGCTGCTGGTGACTTTTAAGTTGAAACCAGTGCTCACTGATGATTAAAAAAATCCTAGGGCCCTTAAGAATTATGCTAAGTCAGCTCTCCCTGTGCTGTGTAAGTGGAACATCAAAGCCTACATGACAGTACATTTATTTACAGCGTGGTTTACTGAATATTTCAAGCCCACTGTTGAGACCTACTGCTCAGAAAAAAGGATTCCTTTCCAGATATTGACAGTGCACCTGGTCACCCAGGAGCTCTGATGGAGTCATACACGGAGAGTAATATTGTTTTTATGCTACTCAGACAGCATTCTGCAGCCCATGGATCAAGGAATAATTTCAATTTTAAGTCTTATTATTTAAGAAAAACATTTCCTAAGGCTATAGCTGCCATAGATAGTGATTCCTCTGATGGATCTGGACAAAGTAAGTTGGAAACCTTCTGGAAAGGATTCACCATTCTAGATGCCAGTAAGAACATGTATGATTGATGGGAGTAGATCAAAATATTTACATTAACAGGAGTTTGAAAGAAGTTAAGTCCAACTCTCATGGTTGACTTTGAGGGGTTCAGGACATCATTGGAGGAAGTCACTGCATATGTGGTGGGAATAGCAAGAGAACTATTGGAATTGGAAGGTATCCTGGAGATGCGACTGAACTACTGCAACCTCATAAAAACTTGAACATTGAGGAGCTGCTTCTTATGGATGAGCAAAGAAAGTGGTTTGAGGTGGAATCTGCTCCTGGTGAAGATGCTGGGGACGTTGTTGCAATGACAACAAAGGATTTAGACTGTTACATAAGTTTAGTTGGTAAAGCAGTGTCAGGGTTTGAGGGGATTGGCTCCAGTTTAGAAAGACATTCTGCCGTGGGTAAAATGCCATCAGACATCGGATGCTACAGAGAAATCCTTCATGCAAAGAAGAGTCAATTGGTGGCGCAGACTTCATTATTGTCTTGTTTTAAGAAATTGCCACAGTAACTCAGCCTTCAGCAACCACTACCTTGATCAGTCAGCAGCCACAGTATTGAATGAAAACCTGATGACTCACTGAATGCTCCTATGATTGTTAGCATTTTTTTTTTTAGCAATAAAGTATTTTTTCATTAAGGTATGTACATTGTTCTTTTAGACGTAATGCTATTACATACTCAATAGACTGCAATATAATAGTGTAAACATAACTTTTATATGCACTGGGAAACCGAAACATGTGTGCCTTTATTGTGATATTTGCTTTATTGTGGTGGTCTGGAACCAAACCCTCAGTATGTCTGAGGTCTGCCTGTGAACCATGCTAGGCCAAACAAAAGAAAAGGAGGTGTGGGCTTGAGGAAGGGAGGCAAGTTATGGGAGGGTGACCAGGGAAAGAATGATAAACAAGGGCTGTTGAGTAAAATTTGATTTGCAGGTTGAGCCTCTAGTGAGAGCTGTTAGGAGTCCTCACCCTGGCACAGCAGAGGGACACGCTTTTTACAACGGGGAGCTTCCTTCACAAGGAAAACTCCCACCCTGCTTTTAGAGCATTTCCTGCATCTGCTTGTTCTCAATGGCATTTAGCCCAAAATAATCTGTATGCCAGGGAGGCATATTCAGGGCTGGCGGGCTTGGTACTCTTCAGGGACTTTATCCGTGTTTATGGAAGTGGTGAGCGTGTGTGTACATGTGCGTCTTTGTGTGAGCATGTGTTCACATGCACGCCCATATATGCATGCTTGTTATCGACCATTAGAAAATACATTGAAGACATTATGATACTTCTCTGTTCTTTAAGCAACTCCTAAAAAGAAGGATGCTTTCCTGCATAATCCAGGCACCTAAAAAGCAGTAACTTCTTCGTATTATCTAGTCTATATTCTGTTTTTCTTCTTTTGTTGTTGTTGTTTTTTTTGTCTCATTGTCACCCAGGCTAGAGTGTAGCGGCATGATCTCAGCTCACTGCACCCACCACCTCTTGGGTTCAAGTGACTCTCCTGCCTCAGTCTCCCAAGTAGCAGGGATTACAGGTGTGTACCACCAGGCCTGGCTGATTTTTGTCTCGTTTAGTAGAGATAGGCTTTCACCATGTTGGCCAGGCTGGTCTTGAACACCTGACCTCAGGTGATCCACCTGCCTCGGCCCCTGAAAGTTCTGGGATCACATGGGTGAGCCACAGCACCTGGCCTATTTTCTCCAGTTGTCCCCAAAATGTGTTTTATGGTTTTATTTTTACACCAGGAGCTGATCAGCGTTCATGTGTTGCATTTGTGTGTTGTGTCTTGTTTTTTTTTAATGTGGTTTAAAAAAATACATAAAAGTTATCTTAACCATACAGTTCAGTAGTGTTAATATATTCACGTTGTTATGCAACAAATCTCTAGAATTTTTGTAAAACCAAAACTGTGGACTCATTGAACAGCTTCCCATTTCCTCTTTCCCCAGGCCTTGGCAAGAGCCCTTCTACTTTCTGTTTTCATGATTGTCCTTTTGTGACTGGCATATTTCACTTAGCATGGTGTCATCAAGATTCACCTATGTTATATTCCATGTCAAAATTTTCTTCCTGTGGGCTGAATTATATTTCGTTGTTCTTTCTAGGTTTGTAAGCTAATCTACAGGAGTCTTTCTACTTTTATTTTCCCTTTGGTGTTGCCTTTTTGAAGAGATTGGGCCATTTGTCTTGTTAAACAGCCCACATTTTGGATTTGTCTGTTTCTTTGTTTATTTAGCTTGTTCTTCTATCTCCTGTAGTTCCTTTCACTGGAAGTTAGGATAAGGCTTGGTTTGACCTAGGTAAAATGCTTTTCGGCAGGAATACCTTGTAGTTGATGCTGTGAACTCAGTGCATTCCCCTGGGGGCTGCAGGGTCAGGTTGTCCTATGATTCACAATGGTGAGTTTTACTGTTTGGTTAAGGAATGACCCCCAGATTTCTCTACTGTTGTAGAGTTTATTTTCTTCTTATGAATATTAAGCATCTGAGAGGTGGCATGCTGTGTGGTATTTTGTTC